TGTATGTAATCAGTATCGGCTGATGCTTAACCTCAGATATCAGCATTTGGAAGTAGAGGTGGTCGATATGGACATAGAATACTATTGTGATAATAATAAAAATGACAAACTATTTATTACTACTTTTTTAGGTTACTGTATGGCTGACTGTATGACAACACTCATATTGCCACAACCAAATTCTGTTACAACATTCCCATTTGAAACGGGAATCTTCAGGATGGCCAATATGGAAAGTAGTGTGATTTAAGCATTTTTGTTTTTCAAATTAACCTATTTATTGATGCTCTTCTGGAACAGCAGCAAAAATAGTAAAAACAACATTTTTTGTTTTTTTTATTTAACATCATTAATGTAATTCTGACTGGAAGGCAAATTTCCAACAGGAAAGCGAGAGCTGAGATGAAACGAACCGTGCCGCCGGTGGCGATGGCCATGTCCTTCAGCTGGTTCTTCCTGTTGTCTCCGAAACCTGGAGCTTTGACAGCGACCACCTGAAGACCGACCTTCAGCCTGCAAGATCAATCAACGTTTATTTAGGCGTTGTCCAAAGACTGTTTTTGTTTCTGTGTCGAGGGGACAAACTTGACGAGACGTGCCTGTTGAGAACCAGGGTGCTCAGGGCTTCTCCGTCCACGTCCTCGGCTACGATCACCAGAGGTTTGCGGTGCTGGTTGGCGATTTCCAGAGCCGGTACGATGCTCTGGACGCTGGAGATCTTCTTCTCACTGAGCAGCAGGTAGGCGTCCTGGAACTCACACTTCTGGCCTGGAAGCAAAACAAGATGGATGGCGATCGATCAAAATGTGACCGAATCCTCACCTTAGGTGGGGGTTGGTCAGACGAGTGACGTTACCTTTAGCGGTGTTGATGAAGTAAGGAGAGATGTAACCACGGTCAAACTTCATTCCCTCAATGATCTCCAGCTCGTCCTGCAAAGTCTTCCCATCCTGTTACAAACAAAAACACAAACTTAATTTTTTTTTAAAACCACCCCAATTTTAATAACTTTGTTTAATGCACAATATATAAGATGATAAGTAACTGAGCCATTAGGAGTAATAAATATTCATTACGCTGAAACAATCCAAAAATTGTGCTGAGGTAAATTATATTCCTGCTCAAATTAAATGCTTTAATATAATATACAAATAAAAATACAAAATAAAATCTCAAATGTTTTCTGGCATTTGGACAAACAAATATATATATTTTTTAATTCTCTAGACAAGAAAAGTTTGGTCTGATTTAACTTCAGATGGTGGCAAAAAAAAGTTGATCTTTTTATTAGCTCCTGAAAATATCTAGTTTCAACTGGAAATAATGTTTCCAAATCCAAGAATGTCATGAAATTTCTCATTGCTCTCATGAAGCAGAAACCTGTTGCAGTCTAAGTTCATATGATTGACGTGAAGGCGAGTGTTTTCATCTTCATGCACCATTTCCCCTTTGAGACTCTTATTTTGGAGTGAAACAGGAACAACAGACACAGACCTTTACTGTGATGACTCCCTTGCGGCCAACTCTCTTCATGGCATTGGAAATGATGTTACCGATTTCCACGTCTCCATTGGCTGAGATGGTAGCGACCTGACACGACATCAAGCATGTAAATTTCACTGTCCTGACACTTGGGGGCAGCACTAAGCAAACCTGGCGTTTTTTCCGTACCTGTGCGATCTCCTCTGGGGTGGTAACGGGCTTTGAGAGCTTCTTCAGCTCGTTGATGACCGTCTCCACGGCCATCATGACCCCACGACGGATCTCCACGGGGTTGGCGCCCTTGCTGATGTTGTCGAAGCCCTCCTTGGCGATGGCCCGCGCCAGCACCGTGGCCGTGGTGGTGCCGTCGCCGGCCTCCTCGTTGGTGTTGTTGGCCACATCTTGCACCAGCTTGGCCCCGATGTTCTTGTACTTGTCCTTCAGGTCGATGCTTTTGGCCACCGTCACGCCATCCTTGGTGACCTTTGGACTGCCCCAACTCTGCTCGATGATGACGGTGCGACCCTGAAGATCACAAAGACGACACTTGAGCTCTCCAGCAGCGTCGGCCATTAGGCGAGTCATTCAGCAGGGGAAGTTAGAGAAGCATGCTAACCTTTGGCCCCATGGTGACGGCCACGGCATCAGCCAGCAGGTCCACCCCCTGCAGCATGAGGGCGCGAGCGTCCGCCCCAAACTTCACATCCTTGGCGTATGCTCGTGTGAGGTGAGGAGCCAGCGCACGGCACACAGGCCTCACCTGCTTCATGACGGTAGGTAGACGAAACATTTCTGAGGAAAAAAAATTAAAATTATAAAACGGTCAATTATTATATCTTAATTTGAACAATATGTTTTCTAATGTGGTTGAAGTCTTATTTGTCTGAAAGAAGTCAAAGTGTTATGATAAACGATGAGCCTGAGCCTTGTGGGGATGAACACCGCCCCCTAGTGACAATAAGTGGAAGGACATCAAACTGGGAAATACATAATCAGGTTACAAAAGCACAAAGGGGTGAGCTAAAATATCTCAACCTTCAAGTTGATGATTCAACAACCTAGTTGCACAAGATGCACATTGATAATGAATGAAAAGTATGAAATTTATCACAGCCTCACACTTAAGACATTGCAACTGTTTAATTAAATATATAAAAAACATGAATACATTTCAGGTTTGATAAAGTCTCTATCAAACTAATTATTTAGACATCTGGCTACCCACATGCTTCACTGAATTTCTTCTTTTAAATGAGTCGTTAAAACTTAAGTTGCAACTGAACTGTCCAGCATTTAAAGAGTCACAGAACCTGATTATTTCAGCGTCTTGCCCCCGTGACACCAACCATGAGGCAGTAATCCACCCAGCTTATCAGCAGTAAGTTCATTAAGTCTAGACCATTCAAAATTGGCTTTACAAGGCCACTACCAGGAAACCAAGCAAAATTACAAAATTACTTCTTCCAAGTAGGATTTGGGTAACTTTCAAGACTTTCCTGAATAAATTCCAAGAGCCAAACAATCAAACAGGTTTCAGAGTTCAGCTATCTTTTTAGTGAGAGAACATCAACATTTCAACCAAGGACACCTTTGGCAGAAGGCTAGAGGTTTAGACTGACCTTCTGACCTGACCACAAGATAACTAATTGTTGTTTTAGGCATCTGCTAAAGACAACTGGCAGCCACAAGTAGAGTCGTGTTACTCTAAACAGGCTTATTGTATAGTTTTCACTCCGTTAGCAAAAAGTATCAACCCCAGAAAACATACAATGTACTACATGGTCCAAGTGCTTATATTTAAAACTAGAAAAAAATACATATTGCTGCTAAACATGTTGGTTATTACAATAAAAGAAATGTCACTTATTTAATTTTGCCATTTTGACACACTGTCACTTCCCACACCAATACAGCTCATGGATTTTGCAACAGGAAATAATTTCCAACATTTGAATTTGATTTGTATTGTAAGTGAGGGAAAAGCATAAGAAACTGCTCAGCCAGCTGACCTGCTGTGTGCAGTAGGTGACAAAACTAAGAATTATACCTCATACAATCTCAGAAAAGTCCAGAACAAATTTTAACTTTCATTGGTGTCTTGTTTCGAGAAAGCCACAGAAAAAATATACAAAGCCTAAGTATACCGTCATATCCTGCATGTCAATACTACATAGCAGTTCCATAGTGGCAGGAGTACTTTAGGATTTTATGTATTCTTCCATTTCCAAACTCTGAATAATTAAGTTTTATCTGTAGTGAAATGAAATAAACGGATGAACGAGTAATAAAAATACATCACTGAGCAAACAATCCTAGGTAAATAACCCAAGGAAATTATAAAATCAAACATTTTCCTGTACCTTTTAGTTTCATCTTCTTCCTTCACACTGCTAGAAAATTAGACTTCGTTTACTTTTTATTCTGGAACTTTTGCATAAATGTTGCTATAGTTGAAAGATCCAGCCTTGTGCATTTCAAACGCCTGATTTTGTTTCACGGTACGCCTTTTACTGAAACTTAAAAATCCAGCCAGCAAAAGACCCCACGTGGGATCCTGAGGTCGTACGTCACAAGGTCAAATTGTAAGAATTGTGAAGGCAGCACGTGCACTGCCAGTGCCTGCACACTCACTCTCTTGTGGAAGAATTGGGTATAAACATGCTGTATCCGAGATGACATCCAAGTGACACCAAAGCAAACTGACCGTCTCGTTTCGTCAGGCACGAGACAACAGTTAACACGCTGAAACTGAACGGCGCTCGCGCGGACAGTTGGGAAGCTCGGTAAAATCCCCTAGTGCCATTTTAACGTGCACCGTCCTTGTTCTTACAAGGAGGAGGAATTAGCGAAATATGAGCTGTTCGGGTTGAAACAGCGTCATCTACACGAGCCTAATTGAAGTCTGCTCTTAAATTATGCACACTCGAGCCGCTTGTGTTAACACACGTGAAGTTTTAGCGCTTACCTGCGAGGTAAAAGCTTGTAAATGCAGCGAGGACACCACACGGAGCGGTAGGACTGGATGAGAGGACAGTCGTGGGGAGCTGTGAAGACAGTACTGCACATGGTCTACTGCATCCGGGTTATGTACCGGTCTGCCCCGTACTCAGTATACTTCAGAATATCTTACTTAACCATTATATTTGCTTGCTTTTACTACGTTTACCTCCAGTCTACCTAATAAAGAGATTAATTCCAGAACATATTCGGATTTTTAAATAATTATTTGATGATTTATGATATTTTAGTCCAGTAAATTCACACAAATGCTCGTTCCCGGGCAGGAGGTTCCAGAAATTTCCTGCGTGCCATTGGAGGAGCAAACACAGGTCAAAGTTGAAATTGTGCAATCTTGCGCGAGCTTCAAATGAGATTTTTTTAAAATAAATTAAGTTAAAATAATTTAAAATCGTTAATGCGCATTTTGACTTAAGAAAATATAGAATTTCACAACAAAACAGTTTTTTTAAAATCATTCCCGGCTGTGCTAGAACTTTCTGTGAGCCACGTCAAGTTCAGTGAGATAGTGCGCATGCGCCTTCTGGAGATTTCTTCACGTGGAGGGAGGACAGGAGAATCTCATTTCCACGCTCGTTGACTGCAGTGCAGCTCCAGACAGGCTCTCTCACAAAAAATGGTAAGAAACAGCGTTTAATAGTTGGAGACAGCTACAGCTGGGTGTTCACGGTTTAGATAGAGAGGCAGGGGACCGGTTATACTCTGTAAGGTTTTTATTTTCTCTGCATCGAGGCGTCAGCTAGCGTTGTGTAAGCTAATTTTCATTCACAAGGTCACGCTGCTGAGGAGAACAGTGTGTGTGGGGGGGCTCAACCGCACATTTACCTTATATTTCCATGCATAGGTTTAAGAAAGAAATAACAGCAAGAAAAAAACAGGATTATTGAAGATGTGCAGCTGCTGTAAGACCTAATAATTTTTAGTAATTGAAATGGCTTTTTATCGACGCAAACTCTATTCAGCGTAATACATTTGTATGTGAAGTTGTAGGGATCGAACCCGCGACCTTCGGGTTGGTGAAACTTCACTGCAGCAGACAAAACTCTCCGGAACTGATCCCTGAAGCTGTGTAGTAGAAGACCAGCACAACTGTGGCTCTTACTATCATTTTTCAACACTTTAAAGTGATGTAGTGAGTCTAGTCTCATTTCAGCGAAAGAAAGAGTACGAAAAAATTTTTATTTAAAAGAAGTAATACTGTCCTAGTGGCTGACTCATTGTCTACTTTTGTTAAAAAATGTAAATAAAGTAAATGGTTGATGTCTGGCATGGACTGGTTGTGATGATATGGGAATATTTTGTAAAAATGGCATGATGCGATATCATGATATAAAAGATTTAAAACAAAAATGCTTTTATTATAAACTAAAAACCTTCAAAAATATACTGAACAAGCAGAGAAAATTCCAGTCACTCCAGCACTCTTCCTGGCATACCAGGAACAAGTTGAAGCCATAGGAATGGTCTCTGTAGAATTCCTACATTAAGAGCACTTCATTATTTTACTGCAAAGTTCTAAATTTCAAACTTATTGAGTAAGTAACCATCAGGTAGCTGACAGATACTTTTGGATAAATAAATGCTCAGTCCTGATTTTAGTAAAACTAAAAGTACATTGTGATGCAGTCCTGGCTAAATTAGTTAACACGCCCTTCATGTCTTAAGTGGAAGTTATTGTCATCAAGTTCCTTTTTTAGCTAATATTTTCTGATGACTTTCCAACTCTAACAGCTATTTCTGAAATGGTGTAGAAAGTTCATTCTTTTCCTATATTTTTAGATGGGATGTCACCGAGTTGATGCAGCTAGTTTAAAAAAAAAAAATGAAGGCAGTCCACCCAGCCGGAGAGGCTTGAGGCGTTGCAGCTTTCAGAAACTGTGTTGGGTTTTCGAGCCGTCCTTGTCCTGCCAGGTTTCAGGGTCGACAGATCAGAGAGAGCGTAGCTGCCCCTCCTCCCTCCCAGTAAGCACGCTGGGACCAGAAGCCTGGACACAAGGTCACTGGTACATCTGCTGTTATCATAAGCTCAGCAGACACTATTGGAATCCTCCCTTCTTAAGGCATTTCCTAAAATCTCACCAAATGTAAGAAAGCTGACTTGACCTAAACTTGACCATCTGTAGGGTTAAGTGTAACTGATAGCAGTTGTTTTAATAGAAACTAAGTCACAATCTTAATTATTGCTGGCAGATTATGGATATTTTAGAGAACAAAAAAAAANAGAAGAGTACTTTTTTATTCTCAAAATTTTTTAGAAAAACCTGACATTTTCTAGAAAACTTTTGACTTTTTGAAATTTTCCTGCGTTTCAAAAGTTGAAAATGTTTGACTTTTGACCTGATTTCCCCAATTTTATTATTATTATTTTTTATTTCTGAGATTAATCTAAAAATTTCTAAAGTTTTTGGTGAAAATTTACTCATACTATTTTTTAAGGTTTTGTTGGCTCTAGTGGCCTTTATTTTAAAGTAGTTTGACAGGAAAGAGGGTTGTGAGAGAGGGGGAAGACATGCGGCAAATGTCACCAGGCCGGGAATCGAACCTGTGACCACTGGCATGAGGACTAAGGCCTCACTACATGGGTTGTGCTTTGCCCCTGCACCACCACAGCACCCCCTCTCTGTCTTTTTTAACCCAGAGATTTTTTTTGCACAATGGAATGTGTGCTCTGTAAGAATTTTTATTTTTTAGTTGATCTTGATTTGATAAATTGTTCCAAGAAAATATTTTAATAACTCTGTTCATTTGTTGAGTTGAAAGAATATTTTTCTAAACATCAGGTAATGACTTTGTCTTGGGTGCATATTAATTTGGAGGAATTTGGGGGAATCTGTAAATTCTGTTTCAAAAAATGATTTTGTGAGTTGAAATTATATTTTTATAATTTTTATATATATTAAACCTTGTTGGTTTTTATGAAACTTTGAATAAATGATGTTCTAGATTTACTGTTAAAAACTAATTCCCGTCCATATGATCCATGGTTGACCTGGAGCTCACTGTTTCTTCCAGGCCTTCAGGAAGTTCCTCCCCCTGTTTGACCGGGTTCTGGTGGAGCGTCTCACAGCGGAGACGGTAACCAAGGGAGGCATCATGCTGCCGGAGAAGTCGCAGGGCAAAGTACTGCAGGCCACGGTGGTGGCAGTCGGCCCAGGCTCTGTTAACCAGGTAATCTATTGTTTCCGTTCATTTCCCCCATAGTTTGAGTTCTACTCCATGTTTCACACAGCTTGCTATCTGATGCAGTACCTGTTGTACCTTAATCATGTAACTTTTTTGTTGTTCTTAGGTAGATTGAAATCATCACGCTGTATTCTGCAGGCTGCCTCGGTCCACAGATTCAGATTTTTACACCTTCCTGAGAGTAGTGAGTAGTTAGGCCCACAAAGTGAGGTAGAAAAGATGGATGGGAGCAGTGGACCCCCGCTAACCCCCGTTAGCCACATGCTATTATCTAAAATATTTACGATTCCTTCTAGAAACGATTAGAACGACCTATTTTAATGGCTCTCACATTAAATATATCTTGATATGCATTAAATGTACAGTGCAAACAATCTTAGCTCTGCATCAGAAGCTAATATCTACAGTCTTCTTATAGCCAATTAGAGCCAACGAAATGGCACTCCTGGATTGGCTTCTTTACAAAAGCCAGCCAGTAGTGTGTGAAGCAGCATCTCTGCTAAGTATTTAAACTTCCCAAGCTGAGTTTTCCTTAGAATATCTTAGATATGCTCTACGGAGAAAAAATGTACTAAAAGGGGGATTTTGCACTATTTTGGATTTCTGTTCCACAGAAAAATCTGTGAATACTGAGCTCTGAATAGGCGGTGGTCCACTGTATGCCAGTTCAGTTTTGTCCTATGTTGCCTTCTGCAGGCCCTTTAGAAATGCAGTTAGCTTCATGCAGAGACTCTAGGGTTAAAAGGGTTTCACCCAAAGACACAGACAGTGCGATCTGCAAGTGTTGTATTTTATGGGGCTCAACATGAATTTTGGACTTTTTCAGCCATGTTTCATACTTCTGAGTCTCCTTACTTTCTGAGAGACAGCAGGCGCAAATCGTGACACCGCACCTACTAATGGCACTTCCGGTGGCAGGTGTGACACCTGCCACAAGTGCCACTGCTTTCGGGACTAGCTGCCAGAGTTGCCACTGCGTTCGGCTGACTTCGGCTGACCTCG